AAAATAAGATATTATAATCTTAATATAAGTTTCAATCTTTCAAACATTAAAATTAGTATAAAATACTATTAAATGTGAATAGATTTGAATAATGAAATTATTTATACTATGCATAAATTATCATTTTCCACACGAAAAATATTATTTACATTAACTAATAAATGAATTTGAATAAAAATATTCGAATTTCAAAGTACTGATTTACTAAGTAGTAAATTTTGAAATAAATTTACAAAATTCATATTAAATTCAACGAATAGATCGTTGGATAAAATATTCTTTGACAGGGTTTTTTTTTTGTTCATTTTTCAAGAACAAGAAAAGAAATTTGATAAATAGACTTTTTCCAATCTAAACAATATTTGCTATACTCTTCGAATATTTGATGATATTTATAAGCTTAGATTGTCCACTAGAGAATAGGATAATTAGTACGAGTATCTCGAGATCGCTAGGATTGAGAGGGAGTTGAAGAGAAAGAAACACAATACAACGCTGGAGAAATATGAAAATTTTTCAAGACTGGAGAGTTCATCCGCTTAGAATATCTATGATAATTAGAATGACTATCTTTCATGTTATCAATCGATAGAAAAGAAAGACATTAAAATGTTTTCATGTAAAAAATTCATAATAAAAACTAACGAGGAAATCTCTGCAGGTGTCAAATCGCTTTTCAATCGAGATGATGTTTATTTGATGAGTAATAGAAATGTCTAGAATGATTTGATTTTTCAGGCCTTCATTCTCGAGATATCAAAGTTTTACTGAATTCTTCAACAAAATGCTCTGTAGTCATGTGAAAAAAATCGACTTCAAACTTTACACGAGCAAAGTTCTCAATGAGATTAGTTCATTGAACAAAAGTTGTAACCTTAGTAGCCATTCCTATCTCGAAATATTCGAAATTTTCTTATGTGTAAAAGCAAATTTTGTTCATATATTTACATCATACAAGAAAAACTAAAAACTTGTACAATTAATTAATCTCATTGTAAATCTTGTTCGTGTAAAATTTGAAGTCGAAAGTTAATTTTTCACATGCTCACAGCTTTTTTTTTTATTGAAAAATCCAGTAAAATATCGATATATCAAGAATGAAGGCCCCCAAAAGATTCTTGAGTTTCGTATTACTCATCAAATGAATATCGTCTTAGTTGAAAAACGATTTGATATCTGAAGAGATTTTTTTTGTAAGTATAATTAAGAATTTAAATTTTTACCTATCTCCTCTTGTATATACATCATCGAATGGACCTTTACCAAAACAACATGCATATAAAATTCCACCAAGAGAAAACATATCAGTTTTTTCAGTAATTAGAGAATTTGTTTCTATATGAAATAATTCCGGTGCACGATCTATATAAATATGACAATGAGAATAAAAAAAAAAAAGAAAAGATAATATTTAAATATTTAGAAAAACAAAAAACCAAGATCAATTACATTGTACACAGCAATTTTCTTCTGCCCAATCCTAAGAATAGAATAAAATGAATAATAAATAATTGATAGAAATATATATATATATATATACCTGCCATTGTTGTGCTTCTGATCTAGTAGTCATTAAAATTGATGCTGGTGTCATTGAACCAAAATCTAGTATAACACTATGAGAATTATTTAATAACATAATATTACTTGGTTTCAAATCTCTATAAATAATAAATAATTACTAACAGTAATGAATAAACAGCAACAAAGATAATTACCTATGAGCCATTCTTTTTTCATGAATTTGACGAACTCCTTCACATACACTCAAAAATAAATCAAGTAATGCACGAGTAGTAAATTTTGTTTGTCTATCAAAAACATCTTGAAGAGAACCATTCTATTTAAAAAGAAGAAAGTCATAGTTTCGATGATGATTAGAACTATAGAAATAATAATTTGCCTTGAAATAAGGAAAAACAAGCCAAACAATACTTGTTACATGTGAATTCGGATTATATTGTATTTGTTCGTGATAGAGTAATGAGACTAAGAACAGGAAATAATGATAATATAAAAAATACTTCTTAATCAAACCTAGATTTGGATGTGAAAATCTCTGATAATTTTCTATTTCATCTTGTGCACGTTTTTCTTCTTCATTTGTATGACATGACATTTTCTTAATAGCATATAGATGATCATCAGCTGTATTACGAGCTTCAAATACATAACTGAAACTTCTAAAAACTAAATTTAATAGACAAACTATTGTGTTCTATATAAAAAAAAAAAAAAAACAAAATGTCAGAATGTTTCAAATCATTAGAAAAAGCCTTCCCACTTAGAAAGTAATAAAATAAGCATAAATATAAAAAACAATGTACCCTTCGCCAATCTGTCGTATAAGATGAAATTTTTGTCCTTGTATAACCACACTTTGTCGTCCACATATACAACCCATCTATAGAAACTCAAATAGAAAACAACAACAACAACAATTCTATATTCTATTCCACAAAACATGACACGAAAAATTTTTTTTTTTATTGTTATGTTTCTCGGATGGCATAATCGAATAACACAGACTTGAGAAAAACAAATACTTAATCTCATAAGTAATAGCACAAAACAATCATACAGATATAGATATACAATGAAAACAAATTTGGAAATGATGTTAAAAGAACAAAAAAAAAACAAAAAAAAATTTCACACAACAAAGATTCATTCTCCACCACATTTTTTTTGGACTTGGAATGCACATACATACAAGAAAGTTACATGAAGATTCTCTCTCTCTCTCTCTATTTATTTTTTCATTTTGACTAGTAAAACATGTACTATATATATGTACACATATAGAACAGAACTCATCTGCTAAATAAAAAGTAAAAATTGATGTATGTACGGAAAAAAAAAATCATTATAAAGATGTAAAGAATAAGATTGACTGACAGACAAAAGAAAAATCATTTATTTTATTCTTCAAGATCATTATCATCATCATCATTTGATTCATTTTCATCATCAATAGTATCTTGATGATCATTATTTGTACTACTGTTCGATGGAGGAAGACAAGTAGTAAGTTCTTTCGATGATTTATTATCATCATCATCATCATCATTGTTTTCACCTAAATATATAAAAAAAAAAAAAAAAAAATTTTTTTTCAAATTTTCTATTATCTCTCAAGATTTATCTTTAATATTCAAATAAATCTTTTCTTTTTTCACTACTAGATAAAAGTAGCTGTTCTTTGAGCAGAGATAGAACTAGTATGCCTTATTAAATTTGTCAGTATGAATTTTAGATCGATCGATTCGATCTCTGAATGCGACAATAAACTCTGATCCAAAAACACTTATACACTTTTCATTGGTTTACATGTAATGGAATTTTAATCACTCGATCTCAATCATATTGACACGAATATTTTCGTTCAATTTCTCATTCGAATGCACAATGTCGTAACTATCTTGAATTCAAATTTTATTAGAAATCATAAAAACTTCCAATGACACAACGAATCTGTTCTACAAGTTTTACAACTGCAGCACTAAATGAAATTGAATTAACGCTATGATATGATTTTATTATCTCAGAACATGTTAATTACTAAGATCTTGATTATGTGACACACGCTTTGGTGATAATTAACTAAACAAATAGGACTGTCATTAGTGTAAGTTCAGTTCGCGTGAATTCTACGTATGCACATTCAAAATATCAGCTTAATATTATTAAGAATAATAATACTTTTCATATACTAACCATGATGTATATTATTATTATTATTATCATTATCATTGATAGATATTGATGATGTAGATTCATTTTTACTTTTTGTTGTTGATGATGCTTTAATATTTCGTTCTTTGACTTTATATTCCAACTTAAAATAAGAAAAAGAAAATAAATTAGTTTAATTTCATATTGAAATAATTCAATTAACTTACTGTTGAATGTGGTACACCAAAAAATGAACCAGCTTTATGTACGGACATTTCATTACTTAAAACAGCTGCTACTGCTTTAGCTAATTGTTCAGATTCATAACGACGATATTGACCACGTTTTGGACGGATTTGTTTACCATCTGTACCAATCATAACTTTATTATTATTATTATTATTATTATTATTGATTATTTCATTTGATCGTCCTTTAGGTATATAATTTGTTGATTGATTTAATTTTGTTTTATGTTTATTTTTTATATGAATAGATGATGAACGAGTTGATGATACACTTGATGTTGATGATGAACTTGAGGACGAAGGATTTACTTTATTATTGTGCTAGAAAAGAATATATATATATAGATTATGATATTTGAATAGAATAGATACAAAATATCAATTAAAAAAAAAGAAATCTTTCATCTTAAATCTTGTAGAATTACAATAGAAATCTATTTTATTTCTATCTTTATTAAGAAGATTGTAATAACATTTTCTATTTGATATATTACAAATATAATTCAATATTGAATCATACAGATTTATTTACTTAGAATAGGAAAATATATCTGCTATTGATATGAAGAATACTATCGGTATTTATGTTTCACAAAAGAAAAATGCAAAATTTGGTATTCTATCAATTTACATACTATTTTGTAAAACACGAGTAGAACCCGAAAATTGTGAACTCAACGAGCTCTAAATATGATCTAAAAGAAGTTTTGAAGTATAAGGATAGAAATTTGGATCTCCCCCATTTACCATTATCAATATCATCTTGTTATAATAAATACATTACTTCTTCATGACATTTTTGGAAGAACTTAACAATAGAAGTTAAGTTGTTTTAATCATAGGAATTTTGTTTTTTTAAAAAAATATTCAATATACAAACCTTATGCTGTTGTTGTTGTTTTATATTATAATTATTATTAAAATGATTAAAAATATTTGTATTATATTGTTCATCATTATTAACATTTTGTTTTTTAACAAATAATAATTCACCTTTACGTGATGCTCTTGGTTGTGATACAGATGATGTTTGTTGTTTTTCAAACATTTCATGTAATATACGCATCATAACATCATTAAGTATATGATTAACATGAATTGATTCTGTAAGAATAGATGATGATGATGATGATGATGTTAGATTATTTGAAATTTTTGATTTTTTATTAGTTGATGAATAACGTTGATAATCAATTTCTTGTAACATTCGTTCATATGCCATTTGTTTAGCTAACTGAGCAATACGAGTATCTTGTAAAGATGTCGAAGATTTTTTATTTGTTTGAGAATAATGTAGAGGAATAGTTGGTGATGTTGGAAAGAGATTCATATTTAAAAATGATTGAGATGAAAAATCTTAAATAAGATAAAAAAAAAGAATTAATAAGAAATTAAATTTTTATTTATTTTTTACCTAGTTGACTAGCAATCATGTCAGACATAAAACGATCAAGTTCTTCTTGACCATACATTGTTGGTATATCTGACTTCATATCAAACAATGGTCGATGTCTAAAATGTCAAGCAGAATGAAATATTTTAGAATAGTAAACATTTATATTTGAGATGTTAAGTAATTCGAATAATCTATTTATCTGTAATTTCTCTAGATTTTCTGCTAAAAAAAATTTACATTTCTCAGACGAAGAATCCATTGGATTCTAAGTTTTCAAATCTGAGATCAATCGATGGGCTATAATTTCGATCGAGAGAAAATTATCTCTCTTGAATCCCGAGACTAAAATCAATCCCGCATATCTCTATTATTTCATACCGGAAAAATAAACTTCATGACATGACTTTTTGAGATGAATCTTATATCATTAAATAAGTCCTAGTGTGAGACTAAAGAAAGTCTAATAAGTTTCGTACCCATAAGTACATTTTTGTCATGTTGAATTTCTGAACAAAAATCTGTCATTTTCAAGTTCAAATCTTGTAAAAAACGAAATTTCTCAATAGGACTAATTCATTGCGTTAGTATTAGAATTTCTAGTACCTTCTATCCTAACATATAAATATTATATAGTTTTCTTTGTATAAGATTGAAATTCAAAACTTGATGATCTGAGAAGGATTACTCATTATAATGATCCATAACTTAACAAGGAAGATCCAGGGAGATGAAATCTTTTTTGAACTTTCTTCAGTCTCAATAGAGCATATGACTCATTTCAAAAATGATTTATCATTTCATGACGTTTCTTCTTTATTAGTAATTCTTATCTCGAATGTATGCATATAAAATTCTTATTGAATCAAAATTTTCTGTCTTTTTGTAAAGACCTATCTGAATACTAATAAGATTAGAAGGTCAAAAAAAACTCTCTTCTATAGTATAATTGATAATATTAACTTGATATTTGTTCGACTATTTGATGTAATTAATGACAAATTATTTGTTGATGATTTTAAACTTAAATCTAATGGTGCATTTTCATCATCATCAATAATTGTTTCTGTTATTGGATGATGATGTTCATTGATTTGATTATTTATTTTTTTATTATTAAGATATTCTTGTCGATTAATACAAAATAAACATTCTTGTTCAGGATTAAAATCAATTGGTATTCGTTCATCTAATATAACAGAAAAGAAATATACATATATAAAAAAAGAAAAGAATTTTCTATTTTCATCAAACCATCTGTTTGATTAAATACATTAACATCAAAATCGAAATGATTTTTTGTTATTGTTTCCAAACCTTTCAAAAACAAAAAGTTTATTTTTTTTTAAACTTTAATTAAATTAATTTTTTTTTTTCTTACCAATTTGAAATAATAAATTTTTTGTCCATTTATTAAATTCTCGTCGAACTAACTTTCGATCTTGTTGACAACGAGCTGAAAAACATTCCGTCATCTAGAATATAACATAAATTAAAAACGCGCTTTTTTTCTTTCTCAAAACAAAATATGATGTGTTTCATCATAGACTATACTAATTAGGTACTCAGTCATGCAGTCAACAGAAGAAAAAAAAAAAGAAAAAGACAGAATGACGGCATAAGTCAGAAACAGGAAGAATTTTACGGAGTTTATCCAAGAGATACATAAAATATGACTTTTCTACCAATCATTGACCAGCTACCATTAATATTGTAAATGAACACCTTGAATATTTAAATTGTCTTATATATCGAACAGATGGCGCGAGATGGTTGAAAAAATTTAGATTATATAATAGTTGTGTTTGTGTCGTAAGGAAGTGAATATTTACGATGGTTCGTACTTGCCAAGTATTAACAAACTCTTACAATCTATAGCACAAAAAAAGATGTTTAACAGATGTAACTAACATTTTTGTTATTGAGTTCATTATCAATTGCTTCAATTAAATCTAGATCATCATTCTATAATTGTTGATGACAAGTATTTGTTTTTAATATTTCATAATTTTAATATTTCTGTTCTTTTTATTCTGTACATTATGATGTTAATTATCATATGAAAACTCTAATTAGGATATTTTCTATAGGACAAAATAATTTGAAAAATAAGATCCATTTAGCGTGTTTTCTTTCTTCGATGAATATATCAGTTTTATAATTGACGTCAAGAGTTTTTCATATTTATATTTTCTCGAAAGTTTATTATTTCTTTCATTTCAAGCAGAAATAATATTATTAAATTTGTGACACTATCTTACGTATCATATATGAACCGAAAGGTTGCCTTGACACGATATGAATCAATTCACAACATAGATTATTATTTTTACTGAGATATGTCGATACCTATTAAAACTATAAGCAAGAACATACATATCTATGTTTGAAAATTTACTATAACTATTTAGATTTTCTATTATTCTCTTAAATTAAAATAATATTCATTTTATGTATATGTGGAAAGGCTAAATGTTTATATTTTTATTATTAGTATTTCTGTTTTTTTGAAAAGAAAAAAAAAATAGAAACTAGAACTGTTGCATATCACGTGAATAGAGTTTAATGTTAATGAGCAGTTAATGCTGATGTAATTGGTGGTAATTGTCCAGATGATGGACGAGATCGACCACCACCACCACCGCCAGCTGTACCAGTACGACCAACACTTGATTCAATATTTGCAATTTGTTCATTAAGCCGTTGAATTTCACTTCGTTGACGATGAATTAAATTTTCTAATTCAGTGTGTTTTTCTTGAACTAGATGATTATTTTGATGTGTATTTAATGCTTGAACAATTTCTTCTGTTGTACGTGCTGCTGTTTTACGACTTATACCCATAGCTGTTTGTAAATCTTGTAATTTAACACGAGATGTTTTTAATTCACGTCGTAAATCATTGATTTCTTTAATTAATGTTACATTTTCCTTATTTATTTAAAAAATAGAATAGAAAAAAAAAAAAAAACTTTTTTTTTGTGAGAAATTTTACCTGCATTATACGGATATTTTCCATTTTATGTCGATCAGAATCTTTATCAACTTTACCCTGAAAAGAAAAACCAAAAAATATAATAATGATGATGATAAGAAAAAGTTAGAATGAATTTACCTTAAGACTTCGAACTGTTCGTTCAAGATGATCTCGTTGTCGAGCATATTCTTTTGTTATATCTTGATCAATAGTTGCTTCTTCAGTCTATTAAATAATGAGAAAAATTTAGATCGAAACTTTTAGTTCAGTTCTAAATCTTATCCTACTCTATCCTTCACATCTCTATTCCAAATGAAAGATTACACTCAACAAGAAATATTCGAATGATTTAGTCGGTCAATAAAGACAATATTCGATTTAAGACTAGTATTTGTCAATCAAATGCATGGTTATCGATATTTTTTTTGTGGTGGGAAGGGTTGAAAGTTCGGCAGGAAGTGTTAGAAATAGTAACCAAACCCACAACAGACGATCTACCACGAGACTGTCTCTTTCGAATCGTAACCATCGCGCAACAATATTGTCTATTTCTTTTTATTCCACTTTCTGTCAGAGAAAGGCAAATTGTATTTCAAAATCCATTTTCTGTTCAAAGTAATCACAAAGCTATGAACAATTGGCAGAAAGTCGAACATTTTGGGAAGAAATCCTCTCCCCATAATCGAGGGTCCGGATCAAATGCAAGTAAATTTAAATTTCGATTTTTTGCTTAGTAAAAATCCTCGTTTTCCAGCGCCTATTTGAATACCAAACAAGTTTTTCAAAAAATTCAGCCCGAAATAGAAATTCCTCTCTTTGAAGGGAGAAGGTGAATTTCCATAGAAGGCCATGATCTTTTATTCTGATGAGGAGTTTAATTATAACGATTTATATACTTACTGCATCGTCACGAACATATTGAGCATAGATTTCAGCGACACGTTGTGTTAATAATTTTGGTTCAGTAATTAGAGCTGAACAATTATGTATATCAGTTTTAATACGTTTTAATGCTAATTCAGAATCTCGTTTCTATAAAATGTAACAAGATAAAAAAATTTAAAAAGAAAAAGAAATTAAAAAAATAACAAACTAATTGTTTTTCTTGTTGTAAAGCTAAAGCTGATGCATTTAATTTTGTACGTAATTCTTCATTCTTTAATTTTTCTTCATCATTACTCTTGCTTAATCGTTCAAGTTCAGCTTCCATCTAGATAGAATATTTGCGAAATTGATATGAAACAAAAAAAAAAAAATATATATATATATGCTTACATTTGTTATTTGTTCTTTCATTTCTTTTATTTCAATTTCACGTGGTTCAATTTGTTTTTTAAGTTCCTTAATTTTATAATCAAGAACAAATTTAAATTTTTCTAATTCTTGATTTTTACGTTTTAATTCATAAATACGTTTTTCCTATAATATAAATAAATAAAAAAAATTTTCTTTTCATAATAGATTTAATTTTTTTTTTTTATCATAAATTACTTTATCTTGAATAGTTTCATCACGTTCTTGAATTTCTTTTTTTAATCCTTCAATATCTTTTTTTAAACC